GTCCTCTTTGTCCCTGTTTGCTGTCACTCAGGGTCCAGGCAGAGGGTGATGCAGATCAGGAGGAGGAGGGAAGGGAGGTGCAGGAAGTGTAGCTTGAGAGTCACAGGTGTGTAATTGGCACAGGTGGGAAAAAGAATCAATATGGTTGTGGATTGTTTTGACACCAAACCCATTTAAAGACAAATATTTAAATCACAGTTTCTTTCCCCCTGAATCCAGAAAGTATTAAGTCTCTGTATTTAAGTTTCCTTCCACCATTTAAAAAAAAAGACCATTTTAAATGTGGTTTTAAAGGGATTGTTGGAGGTACAGGCTCTACACCATTCTAGTTTTATTCATGAAATGATTGTTCCATCCATAGATCTGAACAATTTGGATTCTACAGTAAAGATAATAGAGATTCTCACATATTTGGAATTTCACTTTGTTGAGAAGTCTTTAAAAAATCCATTGAAAATGAAACAATAATGGGAAAATAACACACACACACATATATAAATATATATAATTCTCCCTCTCCCCCTTTTTTCCTGCACTTTGCATCCCGTCACAATCAGATCTTTGTCCCTCTCTGTCCAGGGATGCCTCGGCTCGCTACTTAGCAACTGTTTCCAAGGATACAAAGTTGCTCCTCGTCTCAACCGTGCCCCTCCTCCGCAATAAGTCGCCAGTGCCCCTCTGCTCCTTTGTGTCCACTTCCTAAAGCCTGGGGATGCTGCAAGCCTTTTAGTTATCTTTTTTATAAGCCATCAGGAAAAACAGTCCGTCTGTTTCAGTGTCATTTGTCTCAGGACGTTCTCCAGCTCGATATTACATTATTCCTCTGGGTTTAGAAATGGTTGTTATCTTGGTGCTTGTAGCGATCTGAGGAGGGCTGGAGAAAGTTAATTGATGAATGTGACGACAACTTGCCAATTATTCTCAGCTGCTTCTGCTTTCCTCGGTGTTGTCCTCGTCGGCTGAGTGTCACCTTGCACGGGGACCGTGCACCTCAGCTCCAATGTGACTGTGACAAACAGCTCTTCGTTCACAGGAACCGTTCATACACACTCTCAGGGGCAGAGCAGATGAATGTTTGGCAATGTGATTTAGAAAAACACGTCCACAGAGACACATTGAGATAAGAAAATAATATACTGTAAAGGCCGCCGGGTATATTCAGACATGAATGCAAGCATCAGAGCTACAGAAAGATCTATTTATATCACTACTAAAAATAGACTTTCTTCTCCATAGAAACATGAAATCCTTGTGAGCGGCGAATTACTCTCGAGCTGCTGTGTGCATGCATGTGTCTGTGTGTGTGTGTGCACGAGCACGCATGTGTGTTATTCTTCTGTTTTCTTTTATGGTGAAAGCAAATTTCCAACTATCATCATCAGCCGTGAGGCTCATTCTTGGGGAATCTCTCAGTCTACAGCAGACTGGGTTTTACACTGCTTTGATGATCAACCCCCTCCAACCTCCACCACCACGTCTCCCTGCACAGTGAGGGGCTCTAAGCTGACAGACATGATGTGTATTCATGCGTAGTATTTTACAGTAAAGATGGGGGGAGTGTGTGTGAGGGAAGACATTGTCTATTGTTGAAGGAGAAAAGGCTAAATTATAAAAACATTTCCAAAAGGTAAAATTATGATAAATGTCTTCAACAAGCTGTTATTGTTGGGAAGGTGAGGTCTGCACTTTGGTTCTTGTGAATGAACACTGCAGTATCACCATGTATATAGTATCACACCACTTCTATATTGAACTCTGTTGCACTAATTTGTCTGGTAGTTCAGTTTGTCTGACACTGACGATATGAATGCGGAAACACTTGATGTTAGTGTTGAAGTGGCAGATCTAGGTCCTGCAGCTCTGGAGTCAGAGATACCTGCAGCGTGAGGACCGAGAGCCCAAACTACAGAAGCTAGAAAACACAGACTTAATGACATGCAGCAGTAGTGTGATATAAATACATCAGAGAGAGAGAGAGATAAGTGCTCAATGCATCATGGGAGTTCCCTCAGCAGTCTGCGCCCACAGCAGCAGAACTTAGGGATGCTTCAAATCTCACCTGAGCCATCACAACTATAAGCTTTCTAATATAGAGTCGAGTTTTAAGACAAACCTTAGAGTGCCTGCTTCTGCTTCCACAGGAGGAACGATGAGTAAACCTGTGTATGATTGTCATGTGAGATAAAATACAAAAGGGGATTATTGATTGGAAAGAATCAAAAATGTAGGATTAAGGGACAGGAAATGATGTCTGTTTAGGACTTTTCTTTTTAAAGATATTTATTATATCTTATATTATATATTTTTTTATTTCATCAGGCTTTTTGCCTCGTTGGTAACTCCTGAGATTTCTAAAACATCTGTTCCTGTGAACACGCACCTCTAAATACTGGTATATTAGAATGATGATACTCCTTCATCGTTCCACATCACGCGTCCCGATTCTTTAACATCTGTCCCCCTCCCACAGTGTGTTTCCTGGTTGCCTGATGTTATCGCTCCTCTGTGACGATGGACGTCCTTGGGGGGGGGTAACCGACAACCGATTCAAATGGCTCGACTCAACACAACATCTGATGTCCCTCCGTGGTTAGAGAGCCACTGTTGACTTTTAACTACAGCTGTTTCCAACATGTTTGTTTGTGAGTGAACTGATTCTCACACAGATTGTTTGTCCTACTGAGCCTGTAGGACCTTTAGTGAATGCAGTGTGTGTGTGTGTGTGTGTGTGTGTGTGTGTGTGTGTGTTCCTGAGGCAGAGATAAAGTGGAAAACAGAGAGACGGAGGGAAGGAGAGGCGGAGATGAAGATAAAGTTGACGGATCAGAGATTATAAAAACCCACTTTGTTAAAAGTCACTTTAGAGATAAAGACTTCAAGACGAAGAATAAGAACTTTCTCCTGACCCGTGCTCACATTTCCACCTGATCCTGTTTGTCCTGTGTGAAACAATCGAAACATCAACAATCAAATCATTTTCTGTGCAGATCTGTGGGTTTGAGATGTCAGGATTTGATTTCCTCTTATACGTATGCAGGTGATCAGTTTGCAAAATTCTATCTCAAGCAAAACTCAGGGGAGATGAGCACGTGGTGTTTGAAGAAGAAGAAACATTATAAACCTGTTTATAGTCAGGAAGTGTCAATTCGTGTTCGTGTGTCAGCAGCCCCGGGTGATCATTTCCAACCTCTACCACCAACTCTTTAATTCTTTAATTCTGTTTTCTATTAGTGGATCTACTGTAGGCTATGCCTTCAAATGAAAGAGTGTGTGAATGTGTGTTTGCCCTCTGCGTGCTGTCGGTCTCATGTGGACACATGTGGAAACGTGTCTTCAGCTTTGGTGGGTTAATAGGAGGCAGCTTTATTAGACAGATGGCCTTTCCTCATTCATCCTGCCGGCTATTTACATTCACTTGACTGTTCATTATGCAATCAGGATGATGTGTGAGGATGCTTGACCTGGCTTGATTGCAACATAGCCTCTCTCTCCCTCTCTCTCTCTCCCTCCCTCCCTCCCTCTCTCTCTCCCCTTCTCTCTCCTCTGGGCAGCTTCACAGGGAGACAAGGTCGCTCAAATTGATTCAGTTCCTCACCGAGCATACACGGACTCTCCAGCAGGGCTTTAATTGCATTTCTGTACCAATCCCTCTCATGACAATTACGTACTGTAATCTAATGCAACACACACACGTACACACACACACACACACACACACATACACACACACACACACACACACACAAACACACACACAATTTCTCATTTTTTAAACCTCTATCTTAACAACTTGCACACACACACACACACTCCTCTTTACTTGACATCCCTAAATTGGCCTCAGTGATCACGGCTGAAAGGAAATATTAATGAAAAAGGTTGTTACGAAGAATCATTTTTCAGATGCTGCCTTCATGCACTGCTGCAAGACTGTTACATCAGATAAAAACTGGCTCAGATACCAACGTAACAATTCCAGGCTACATGCAGTAAGCTTTTTAAGATTAGATGGGAGTTGTAGTGTATTGCTAATTATTTACGAATATTATTGATTAATAGTTTAAACACACTTGCAGTAAACTCCCGATGTCATATGAGGAATTACTGGTGATAAATATATGAATATACATTTAATGTGCTCTGAAATATAGTAGTTATAATACATAATATTATATAATATGTTGAAAACATGTTATAAGTGTGTATACTATAAATTATAAATGATGTTTTCTTTTAATTGACTATTATGTAAGACAGAGAAAAACACAAGAGCTTCACATTTAAGAACAAATTGACACTGTGAAACTTTAAAAAGTTATTAGAACAATTGTTTGATTATCAGGCGATTTCCAGTTAAATTTCTGCCAACTTACTATTTGATTCATTGATTAATGTTTTCAGCTCTACTTAAAATGCTGTGGGGGTCAGTCTATTGAAGGGTTGATGATCTAAAGAGCTGAATGAAAACATAAAGCAAATATCATTGCAGAGGAAGATAAATACGTACCAGAGAGTTTTCTCAACCAGCCTTTTTTCACAGGTTGAGTGGTCAAGCAACCCACTTCGTTTATTAAACACAAGACAAGAAAAAGGATTTTGCACAACCTGGCAACCTGAAATAAGTTCCTATAATGTCTTCTTACTGATCTGTAAACCAGTAGTAAAATATTCAGCCTATTTAACGAATCATTATTATTGAGCTTTGTGAATGGCTGCCTATTATCATGCACGTCTGTTTGTATGTGTGGAGCCAGCTGTGCAGTTTTCAGATATTACAAGATCAACATCTGTCCAGGTGTTGATGATTTAGGCAGCCTGTTGACTTTATCCTCATTAGGCTGTGAAAAGATGAAGGTCCTCTCTTCTTCTCTCTCTGCTCCCATCACTCCACCCCCACCCCCTCTTTGTGTGTCTGTGTGTGAGTGTGAGAGAGAAAGAGAGAGATACAGGGAGAGAGAGAGGAAACGTGTGTGCGCGCATTCCTTCGCATCCAGTGGAGCGGCAGTCGGAGGTGGAGGGTCCACACAGAGAGGTCTCACTCTGCAGAAATCCAAACCATCAGTGACGCTGCCACAGCTCAGCAAACATGCAGGTGAGAAACAGATTCAATTATCTTCTATAAAAAATTAATATTTTTTTACTGTGGAACAAGAGGAGAGAATTAGAAATGATGATTTTCCTGCAGGTGGCAAATTTGAAGTTAAACCAACCATCAGTCAACAAGCCTGGATCTTCTCTCCAGGCTTGTTGACTGGTATTATGATTTTTATTCTTTAAATCTTTAAATTGACCCTCAGCAGCTCGTTCGCTCCCACTTATGCCCAGAGCTGAGTTTGGGAGTGAAGTTATGTAATTGCATCCTTCCTACTGGCAGCTGATGTGGAGGAGATGCTGCTGCAAACTCAGAGCGAAATCCTGAGGACGGCTGCTTCCAGCAAGTGTCACTTGGCATCACGTCTTGTGCCACGACTTTCTCCTCCCTCTCACATCGTTAATTTTTCAGCGTGGTTCATCTGTGTCTCTTGGTGTGCGCGCGTGCGTGTGCGCGTGCAGTGGAGGCACCGAGCACCTCGTGTGGCTCCCAGCAGTTTACGCGTGACTTTATAGTCCGCCTTATGAGCTGCACAGTCTAAATCCTCAGTTCTGGGAAGAGGAGAGATTGTGTTTGTAATTCAGCCTGTGCTTCTCTTCTTTCCCTCTTGCATGGCTGATGAATCAGTTTAGCAGATCAGCTCCAAAATGACTTCGAACACCTTTCCAGCCATGTGCTCTTTAATGCTGCCAGAGAAAACTGCTTCTGGTTGACTTTCTTCCTCCATGTATGTTTCTCAATGCGCTGGAAAACAAGGAGAACCTGTTACTGTCAGTGGAAATCAAGTGTTTTTCGGGAGCGTGGAAGCTCCTGTCTGCCTGGTTGCACAGTGTTCACGAGGCGAGAGGAGGCTGCATCCTGTGTGTGCATTATTTAATCTCACCATTGTGTGTTCGAGGACAGATGGAGGCAACAGATCACTGAGAAATATTGATATATGTGAACATGTCGGACAAGAACAAATTGTCCCTTCCTTCACACACAGATATTTACACACACACATGTTTTGGTGTCCACACACACACACATCTCACATCTGCGTGAGCTTCCAGTGATGGTGCTGGTGAGTGAGCCAGTGCTCCCCTGTGAGTGGTGGGACTCATCATCAATCATTCGGTGAATCGATCAGTAAATCACTTGATCAATCCCAAACACAATGAGATGGAGAGCTGGGCTCTTTTGGCTGGAGCATGGTCCTGGGTGCTGTTGTTTCTTTAGATGTTGTTTTATTCATCATGTGATTTGTGCTGGATGTTAATGGCCTCAAAGTATTGATTTCTGTCAGGGCTGCAACGTCTTCATTATCAATTCATCTACAGGAAGTTTGTTTCAATTAGTCAATTAACCACCAGATTGTATTGTCAGCTAATTGTAATTACCATTGCCTAGAGCATCTGGTGAATATCTTGTTTCGTCCAACTAACTGTCAGAAACCCAAAGATATATAGTTTGCCATCACAGAAGAACAAAAAATCCAAAACATTTGCATGTAAAGAGACGGAACCAATTATTTTTGCTTTAAAAATGACTTAAACTAGTGCAGCTCCCATTCTTCACACGCGCTGCTCGGCCCGTGGTGATGCTGGCTGCAGATTTTCTTCCTGAAACTGTTAAAGTGACCTGCAGTAATTGAGCTGCTGCTGCTGAACTCCGTCCTGAAGCTGCTGCACAAAGAGCGGCTCACCTGTTTGTTCAAAGTTCAGTGGAGCTCAAACTGAGGAATCAGCTGTCATGAACACGCTGTTGTTGTGATCAGCAACGTCCCTCATGTTGATGAGTCCCAGCCGCCGCTGCTCCACAGCGCCGCTCACTGTTTATTCAAATGATGAATATTGAATGTATCACGTGGCTAAATAGCATCAAATTCAACACTGCCCCATTTTGGGCCCTAAACAATACAGATTTGAAGACGAACGGTTCTGTGTGTTTATGCGTCACATACACAAAGAGATGATTCATTGATTATAGAAATTGTTGCTAATTAACTTTCCATCAATCAACTAATCAATTGATTAATTAGTCGATGCAGCTCAAACCTGCTTTAAAAATGAAGAAATGTTAAAGTAATTTTTGCTTGAAAACTGAAAAACAACAAATCAACCATCTGTCTTTGAGACAGATCTTCTACTGCTCCATTTGTAAGAATGATGAATTTCCGCCTGGCTGGATTTATTATGAGCAGTTTTGCCGTGTCACCATCAGGGCGGCTGCTGCACCACCTTCTCCAACATTTACATTTGTTTCCCTCTTTCTCTCTCTGGGTATTGACATGAAGCTGTTTAAATTCAATCTTGCTATGAGGCAACTGCGTGTGTGCGTGTGTGTGCGTGTGTGTGTGTGTGTGTGTGTGTGTGTGTGTGTGTGTGTGTGTGTGTGTGTGCGTGCGTGTGTGTGTTCTTTGCTGTAGAATGGGTGTATCAGTGGGGGTTTGTCATTGTTCATCGGAGTCATTCATTCAGTCAGCGAGATCACAGTGGCTGTCAGAACGAGTCCCAACATTTTCTTGATTTATTCTGTGTATCATCATTATACATTTGCTTTCTGTCATCATACAATGCTCTGTGTGTTCCAAGAAATATTGAATTTCGCCCTCCGTCCGCTTTCATCTTCCTTTGCTTGGCTCAAATGATGATATTCCACATTTTTCTCATTGTCAACAAATCTCATGAAAGGAAAATGCTTTTTTTAATAGCAGCACTGTGTGTATCCACATTTTATGTCTGTTCTTAATGAGCTGGAGCTGGTGAACTTGGAAAGTATCTAGAGATGAGTCAAAGCTTAATTTATTGTTTCACTTCCAAAATGTAAGAAGACATCAGGCTGCAGCAGCTACAGGAGCTCCACATGAGTTCACAACATGAACAAGGGACATCAGAAGAGGAGATGGCATTAAAAGCAGTTGCTGACAGATTCAGCAGCCTTTTCCTTTTCATATAAAATGAATTGAGGCTACACTGATTAAACTCCCATCAGATTATACACTGTTGCTCTTGTGTCGCTCAGAATCACAGAGTGAAGTGAAGCAGTTATATATAAACACAGACGTGGAGACTCAGAGGGAGCAGAAGCCGGCGTTTAAATATTTCAAATCTAGTTTGGGAGCTTGGCTGCAGGACGCTCGGTTCTGTGGTCACTGAGCTGAGAGACTCTGATTATGTGGCCGGCATTAAAATAAGGAAATGTCTGTTTTAATGATGAGTTTACTGAAGCTACTGCTAATTGGAAACTACCATATTTATTTCTTCGTTTTTGTTTTGTGGTTGTTTTTCTTTTTTCTTTTCTTTTCATATTAATGTTTAATCTTGTCTGTGTTTCATAGTTTAGGGTTTTAATTCACCACAAATGGCTGTTATTTTTCACTTCTGCGCATCACGGGTGGCCCCCACCCAGGGACCGCAGATAAAAATGAGCATTTAGTTACATCTGGCATAATTTATAGATCTAATATAAAATGCACTGTGCATAAAAATATCAGGTCTTAACACAATTTTGATTTGGGTCTTTTGATGAGATTTGCTGACAACGACAAAAATATAGAAGAACCTCAGCTGCTTTGTTGCATCATCCTTTTCAGTTCATGTAACAACTATTGTATGTTAGAGTGCACTTTTCCTTTAAGAGACTCAGACTGATGCTGCAGTTTTTCACAGAAGAGCACGTCAGTCAGAGCAGTGACACACAGCCGACCCGCACAGATCAGTGACACGACACCAGACAGGCTGACGGCAACACACACACACACACACACACACACACACACACGTGCACGCACCTGATACAGTGTCTGGGGGCCCCACCTGTTCAATAGGTGGAGTGATTGCAAGATTTAGACTCGTTTAAATAATTGAACAGGTCTGGAAACTGTATCTGTCAAAGTGGGAGAAAGAATGTGAACCATACACTTCTGATCCAACTCAACACCAGACACTGTGTGTGTGTGTGTGTGTGTGTGTGTGTGTGTGCGTGTGTGCGTGTGCTTGTGCGTGTGTGTCTTGGCTTACTTTTCAGACTAAAGATCAGTTAACTGGGAATGGCTTGTCCAATTGGTCACAAAAGCCATGTCTCCAAAAGTGTCTTGACCTATGTCCTGTGTGTGTGTGTGTGTGTGTGTGTGTGTTACATCTTTTTCCACATGAAGGCTCACAGATCAAAATAGTACTCTCTCTCTCTCTCTCTCTCTCACACACACAGTATGCACTCCATATGGAAGTGCTATCCTCCCACTGACACACTGATTCGCACTGACAGTCATACTGAGAGGCCCAAACAGTCAAGACACAAATAGTATCAGCTCTCGACCCTCAGCCGTCTCACATATGTGATGCAGCAGGCTTCACGTAAAGACCCACGTTAAGCACAACCATATATAAACGGGCAGTGATATTTCCCAATAACCTTCAGTGAAGGTTACAGTTTTCATCCAACTGTAAATAGAAGATGGCCCAAGATCAGTAATCAGTATCATCATTTATTATTTACCCAAGACCACAGTTTCCCCCTTACCTCAACCAAGTGTCTTAACATAACAAAAAGCTACAGTAGATGTTATGTGGACATTAAGAAACCAAATCAGACATACTGTCAGCCAGTGTTCTGTAGAAATGAACATTGTGCAACCTCATTAAAAACATTCCATAATTATGTTGATTAAAAAAATTAATTAAGCAGCATAATTTTTATCTGCTGTTGAGAATTAGTTGTACGTCAACATAAGTTATAACAGTAAAAGTTTCACGTGTCTCCTTTTCAGATATGGGACTTAAGAGGCAGGGAAGAGAGAAAAGAAAAGGACGACACTGAAAACCAGAGGCAGATATTGATCTCATGTTTTATAACGGAGCCAATAACACTGGTAGAGCAGGGCTGGGGAATTCTTAACAGTCAAACATTGTAAAACACATTGGACTTATTTTATATTCAATCTCATAATTAATTGTTTAATCTGTGTTTGATAAGTATGCATCACAGTTATTTATATTAAAACTGTGTAATCCAAATGT